TTTAATTTCACTCAAAATTTAAGACACTAGGCGTAATTTCCACCTCGACGCCTAATCAGAAATCTAATAACTCGCAATTTAAATAGAAATTCGTAGAGAATTGGCGCACCAAACGAAATACGCTTCTTCGAAATTTATATAAAAGAGGAAACTCATTAAGCCGACGGAATATTAAAACGCCTTTGACTTTGTTTCCGGTTTTCGAATTACGCGCTCCAATTTGTCGACTAATTACGGCTTTCCGAAACTATTTCTTTATAATCTGTGGTTAATTAGTTATCTATTTCATGTAAATTGGACATTCTGGGAAGCATAGAAAAATCTGAAATAATGTCTGGATATTTTGGCACTGAAACAGAAATATAAAGGATAAAAAAAATTGTTTTTTCATTTTTTTTATCTGGCGTTAAACATATACAGAGTTGTTCAAATTCGAACTTTAAAACGAATTATTATTTTATTTTCTTTTTTTTTTATTCGGGGATGGTCAAATCAGGGCAAAGTTGTTCATTAGTGCCTATATAATAACATTTCGTCCCAAACATTTAATATTACGAGTCGTTCCGGAGATATTCGAGAAAATCCGAATTGAAGATTTAGATTTTATTTTTCCCTTCTTGTACAGGGTGGCGCCTCTCATACGCCGCGGCGGCTCCAAAGAGAACGACAGTTTGTATTCAAATGAAATTTTGTGAGCATATGTAGGTTAATTCAGAGCACTTTTTAAAATTATAGAGACTTCTACAGAGTGTCCCCAAAAAAAGTTACATATCACAGTTGTGTTTTTTGTAATAGAACACCCTATATATTAATTGATTTTTGGATTCTGGGAGAAAAATAAAAGTGAGTTTTATAAGAAAAGTATATGACTAAAATGTAAGGTTTTTGACATATTTAACATTTTCTAGAAATAAAGAACAATTTTTAAATTACAATAAAAGCTAATCTAAATTGGAATTTACCCGGTATAGCCTAATGTATAGTTCAATTAACTATTGTACTTTAAATCAAATTAAAACTTGATCCAAAATGTTATACAGGGTGAGACAAAATTAATATTGAACATTGGTCACATTTAAAAGCATGTTACTCTTTTATTTCAAATAGAACACCCTGTATATTATTCCGATATTCAATGGAGAATGCATGTCTCTTCAAAATACTATTAAGGTTGCCCACTCCTCAAACAAAGATTTTCTTAGATATTTTCATTTACATGATTTGATTTGAGTAGATCTTTATTATTTGATAAAATCTAGGTGGCTGTGGAATGTCTGACGTTACGTCAACATAGCTGTCTAATTAGTCCAACTTTAACAACCAGTTATCATTTTGCGTCAGTTAAAACAAAAAAAAATTCTCAGACATTTGCCAAAAATGCAAACTTATCCTATATCAGAGAGAATTGATATTATGATTTTGTTAGTTGGTGAATGCAGTATGCATTCACCAATTAATAGAATACTTAAATGCTTCTGATTTTATATAGTCTGTTTGAAAACTCGACCAACTATTATTGTCGACCACATGAGAGAAATTATTGTAGCTCCTTTTCGAGGTAGAACTCCACATATACCTTTTAAAATGAAAAAATCCTTTTGAAAAGACAATCATTTTATGCAGTTAACAGGAAAGGGAGCATTTTGAGCCTTCGATTTCATTCAGCTAATTTTTGTCACATAATTATAGGTTTATATCTAGTTTTAATTCTGCAATAATTAAAATATGTTTTAAACATGTATCTTTTACACATATGTATAATTCTATATATTTTTATAAAATGCTTTCAGTTAACCTACATATGTTGCCAAAATTTCATTTCGATATAAAGTGTCATTTTCCTTGGAGCTTCCGCGGCGTATTGAAAGGCGCCACCCTGTATGTGTTATTTTTTTAAAGTTTGATAGGGTTTTACAGTTGTATAGGGGTAAATAGTCCTTGTATAGTGGTCCAATGAACTTATTTTGATTCTAAAAGTACGTATTAGTTCTATATCCAAGAAATATTGGGACACCCTATATAATGAACTTTATTGTTGACTCACCCTATACATCGCCTTGTCTGCGAAACCCTCAGAAACAGCGCCTATTAATCTTGACAAATATTTCTCTTCAAACACACGAAATAATTCTGTATCAATCCCCGCACCCAGGCATCCCTCCCAGGGAAATTTAGATTTAAATTCATCCCCAGCGCTAACAAACCCCAACGCGTCTAATCCAGTCCGAGGGATGCGAAATGGATTAAAACTAGCGCAACCCCTTTAGGGCATAATGACGAGGCCGCCGTAGTCATCAAACCTTTATGTTTGTTCGGTCAGATCGGCATATGGCGTCATAGACATGGTCATATTTCAAATAGAGAGGGTTGTTGTTCTTTAAATAGTCAAAAATTAAATAAATCAAATTACTCAAAAATGATTTTTTGTGAAAGCGTTTCGAAATTGACAGTTTTTGATATTTATTTGAGATTCGAAATGACATTCTTTTAGGCGCTAGTATTTAAAAGTGACACTTGTTTAGGCACTAGTGCCTAAAAGTAAAAAATGAAAGGTTAGAAACAATGAAAATATTTATTTACTATAAATCTTAAAGATACAATTATTTAAATTATTAAAGTGAATACAAAAGGCATCCAGCTTTTCGTCTCTAAAGGCGGGTTCTCACTTGTCAGTTTCGCTGACGCAGTCTGACTGATTCATTATCAATGAAAAATAAGAAACAACGATTGTATTCACACGTTTCATGTTTTGCTACATTCAGTATTCAGTTGGTCCAAACATTCTAATGTGGTGATTTCGTATAGACATGAAAATGGTTAAAACAAAATTGAAACCAGGTGTTCGCGAAGTTTGTTTACAATTAGCAAATGAATTACAGAATATTCTGGTGAATCAGAAAAGAAAAAAAAAAACGTCGTAGGTGGTCAGGTCCTGGATATTGCGAAGAAATAAACGGGGTGCTATAGTGAAACTATATTAAAATAATTAATTAACTTAACTTGTAAACTGCACAAATCACGAAAATGTAATTCTCACGCTTCAGTTTCTATTCATTATTCGATAATGATCAGTCAAAATGAAAAAAAGTAGAACTGGTTTTCACTTTAACTGAAAGTACCAATGTACTGATCATTTAACATGAAAATGTGTTCTGACGTTCATTGTTTGTTCAGTATCACTGAATCAGTCAGACTGCGTCAGCGAAACTGACAAGTGAGAACCCGCCTTAAGAGAAATGCAAGTTGTAGGAGTCGGAATAAGTAAATTTCTTGTACTGGCAAAGCTGGTAGCTTCTGCTTCTACGTGAACTACTTTTAATTTTTTATTTTGCGAATCTTTCTGTCCCATGATTCTTTTTGCTATATCGGTTTTCTGTTCAATTGAATTTTCAATGTAACCTTCAGCACCCGAGCTCGATCGCCAACCTCCATGTCGCTTTAAAACTGTTATGTCCGCTCCTGAATCTGCCAGCATTGTTGCAGAGCTACACCGGAAATAATGACCAGTGTATTCAATGGCGTTGGAGAGTCCAAGAAATTCCGCTATCTTTTTTTGCATACCCCCAATAGTATTGATTCCAACTGGCAGGGTACAGCATTGATTTTTTCGATATGTCAAGAAAAATCGCTGATGTGTCACATTGAATGGTCGAAGTTTTGCGTACTTACGAAATACATGTAAGAAATTGATACTATCTATTGGTCCCTCAGTAATCGTAAACACTCTTGGAAAATGAATTTTTATATTCGGAATCTTCACACTAATAAATGACTGACAATTTTCAATGGCATCTACGGTCAAAAACGTGATTTCTTCCCTCCTACATGCACCAAATACTCCAACGATTAAGACAACTTTAGCTAACAGGAATTCTTTGTCATCGGCTTCTTTTATAAAGCGTTCTATTTCCAGTTTTGTAAATACTTTTGATTTCTTTGTCTGATATCCGGAAGCTTTTTTTTTTAAAAATGCAATAAGGTTTGTGAATTTGCTAATATCTACGTTTCTGTTCTGGTAAATCATGGTACGGAGCATCGAATATTTACTCCACAGAGTTACGGCTTTGTAGAAAAAAACTTTGTTTCGAAAAAAATCCTTAGATGACTAGTAAGCTTACCATGCGCTGTTTGTATGCCCACTACAGTCTCTCTTTGACAGTCTCTCTGTCTTTGCTTATCCGAATCTGCTATACATTTTGGAGAATGTTACAAATCAATAAGTAAAGAGAATGTTTTTAGACATGTCGCACCTTCAATCATTAAGCGAACTAAGCCATATTAAAATAACTATTGATTTTGTGGCACTTTATGATTAAACGTGCGATGTCTATAAAATAAATCAAGAAACATCTTTCATACTTGCAAATATTATGATAAAAAAGCAAAATATTATTTTATATTAACTTTCTACATATTAGAAAAATTGCTACCAAAAATAATTTAAGATTAATTACCCAGAACTAAAAAAACTTTACTTAGTATATGTTAACCTATTGTATTTGTTATTTACATATATCTAAAAATATCACAATATCATTAAAAACAGTTTCCGAGTTAGTTCCAGCGTCCAATAATAGCAAAATAAAAACACTAAATCACCACACTACAATACACCAAAACACTTTTACTTTTACACTGGACGCGCGTTTCGCGAACCATGTTAGCATCATCAGCAGATGATTATAAACTTTTTATATATAAACCAATTTATAATCATCTGCTGATGATGCTAATATGGTTAGCGAAACGCGCGTCCAGTGTAAAAGTAAAAATGTTTTGCTGTATTGTGGTGATTTAGTGTTTTTATTTTGCTGTGTAACACCAAAGGTTCCAACCCTCAACTGTAATAATGTCCAATAATATATTTGCTATAGATATTGTTTATTTAGAATCTAATTTAATATATCACACATTTTATTTCTTAAGCTTATAGTACATAGTAGTAACATAAGTCAACGATACATAATAGATACTCGTAGATACAGACATAGATTGTTTTATTGAAATAGAATAAACACATTTGTTAAATTATTTCTTGGGTTTAATATGAATTCTAAAAGTAGTCCTAAATTCAAAATTTACGCGATTTTTATATCTATAGTACCTACAATTTTTTAAACAGGGTGAGTCTTAAATAAGTGCAAATATTTTTGGGGGTAGTATATTTCGACCCCAGAAACAGGATTATGAAGTTTTTTTCGCGAAAAAAACAATTTTAAGAATTTGAAATTTTTTGAAAAAAATTTTTGGAAATTTTATTAGTTTTACTCAATATTTGTTAAGTTAAATATAGTAGATTGAATTTACCATAAAGAAAACCATAAAATCCAGAAAAGATCCAGTGGTTCTCAAAATTTTAGCAAAAAAATCATTTTTTTTGGAAATTGTCAAAGTAAAATATCTCCGTTATTTTAGATTTATTTGACAAACGGTAGAGAGAAAATATGTTTCTTTTATCGAGATCTACCAACCCTGAAAATATTTGCACTTTCATTTAAGACTCACTTTTTATAACTGTATATGCCACCAAAAAGTGTATATTTTAGCTCACACATGAGATAGAAATACGTTTGAACAACTAAATGTAGCAAAAATCTTAGTGTGAACTGTGGTTTTTATCATATTGTAATTAATATACTAAGATATTAAGGTTACTTTTTAAATATGCTTCAATTTTTTGAATAAAGATTATCTGAAATCTATAGAATACAAATGTTTTAGTTAAATGTTATCTCTCATTTATGACATTGAAATTCATCAACATATATTTTCCAATAGCACAAAATGAATTTGTTAAATATTTTACAGAAACTTGTGTATTCTATGCCAATTTATTTACTGTCCTTAACATATTTTTGCAAAGACATATAGATGTCTATATAAATTATTAAGACCCTGTATGTTTTGAAATCTCTGCTGGATATCGTCTGCTCTTGGCATTCACCGCGTGCCTTATGACTTCACAATTACCATAACAGGCCTACAGTGAACACTAGGAGATAGACAAAGTCGAAATAATAGCAGAATATCTTTTACTTCTTTCGGTACCTTTACCTCTTCACTATGATATACATCTTCTCTGGTAATTGTTACAATTAAATGGTAATTGTCTGTGTCCTAACTGTGAGGTTGGGAACTACTTCTTTTAGTGGTACATTCTTCTGTGACATTGACAACTATATTCAGTTTTCTACAAATTCACCTGAAACAAGAAAACAAAATCTTTACCCTGAAGATTTTTTTTTGGTAGATTATCATTTACAAACTAAATATTTGCTTTATTTTTAAATTATGAAGTGGATGTGTCACTCAGTTCACTGTAGACAAAACTGTGCTTTAAAACTGCGTGTGTATGCGTCAAAAGTAGTACACGTTAAACTGCGCAAACTAGCCTGCACTAAAGGACCGATCGTCTGTGGGGACTTTATTCTTTATTAAAGGAACGGTTATCCTTTATTTTTGTGTTTTATTTGTATACGAATTTGTACTGACAACTTTCGTGACTACAAAGGACACAATACAAATTTTCAGTTTTGAGTCTAGTAAAAACTATATGTCAAACTGTGATGTTTCCATTAAAAATCGTCTCTGATTAACATTTTCTGATAATTTTTAAAGACACATTTAACTATTTCGTGAAAATTTGACTTAAATTGGTTAAAATATGCGACATTTAATAAAATAATATACTTACACACTGCGTGTGGTGTGATTCTGGAACAATGGATTCATAAAATAGTTTATTTTTAATTTTTACTATTTCTATCTAAACTACATTAACTAAATTATTAGTTGACTAATTATAAAGCTTCTACTTACTAATTTAAACATTTCACTATCACTAAAAATTAATTACTTTTTCTCTAAAACATATTTTTTGACAAGGTCAATTATTCAGTTACCAGAGTAACGTAATTTTATAAGTAGATATTCAATTTTTTTAAATGACTTGATGTTCCAACAATTTTTAGAGCATATCCAAAAGAATCCAGTTTAAAATGTTCATATTTTGACAATAACTTATTAAAAGCTATATAAATAGTATTTTTTTTGTGTTATTCAATTAATTGATTATTAAAAAAGTGAGTTTCCATGAGCTGTTTTTTCCATTAATTAAAATTTGTTCATGGAAAATAAAAATTGATTGTTTGCTGTTCTTGGAATTTTAAGGGATGATAGTTTCTGTTGTTCGTATTTTATGATTAGTTGTGTGATTATAAAAGGGTATATATCTAATTGATACTAATTAACAAGTATAAAAAATAGCATTATTGTCAAATAATTAAAACTAATTTGTAGTAAGAAATGTCTGAATGTAAAGTATAAAATTACCAACAACATAGTTTAAGTTGACAACAGACTTAATATAATCCTTTTTTTCTTCCAGACTTTCGAAAGTTTTGGTAAATCTAATATATTCCAGAGTTACAAAAAATACAAAAGTAAGTGTGATATTGTTATTAATGGTAAAATAATATTATGTATATTTTTAGGCATTTTGGTTATTGGTAAAATCATCTATTTCAAATAGACATATTCATGACTAATATTTACCGTGAAAACCCTATGAATGGATTTCAGAATATAGTTTTCCAGGATTCATTTGGATTTTCCGATGAAAAATCCAATTTTAAAACTGGAGAATCCAGAAATAAACATAGACAAAGGATATAGATTTTTCCTGAATTTTATATACTAAACGCGTACACTAAAAACCTTCAATTCAAAGTTTTCTTCGGCCCTATACGATATCGTGACGTGGCTATAGGCCTTATCTGTGGCATCGGAGAATTATCAGCTGTTCGGGACACGTGACGGCGCCATGCAAGGCGTCGCGACGTTGCTGGTTACGACAGCGTCGATCGTTTGGTGGTCGATAAAGACCCCATCTCTTAGAGATATTTAGCACACAATGGTTACGATAATCCATACCTGCTAATTTCGTATTTTTTACAACTAGGTAGTATACAAAAAGTTGCAGTAAAAATACCCTGTTAAAGATATACTTTTAAATTGAATAGATTAAGGAAAAATCAATTCACTGTCAAGTCTAGTGTCTAGTGTAAAAATATATACAGGGTGGTCCGAACTGTATGGTCCGAAAGGTTCAGCCGCATATTGTGCAGATAAAAATAAGTAAAAAAGGTTGAATAAATGTATGCCCTAAAATGCTTCGTTTTGGAGATACAGAGTGTAGATGTTTCATTTTTATCTAGATTTTTTCCAAATAATTTCTGAAGTAACGTCAATATTTGGATGAAAATTGGTGTCTGGGAATTTTTTGTCATGAGAAATTTGATTTTGATGCCAATATGACTGCTGCTTGTAGAGGGCGCCACCTACATATTTTAACTGGTTTGAAGAGTAACAACTTTTCGTCCGTACCTGTACAAAAATGCTGAGTAAAAAATATACATTTATGACGTTTTTTACGTCATACGTTTTTTACGTCATTACGTTTTTGTATCGCAGTTTTTGACGTAAAAAAGGTCTCTTGGTAAAAATCGCCACGAGAATGGTTCTCGAGATATTTTGAATTGAAATTATCAATACCTGTCATCATTGACATAAATTTAACATGTTGACACTAAATTAATAGTTATTAGACTGAAATCATAAATTTGAAGTGTTTTTGTGCCAAAAATTCAAAAGAAACTGTTTTATTATTCGAAGAAAAATTCTAATCAACATGTTCATTTTTTGTCAATAATGACATGTATTGACTATTTCCATTAAAACTAAATAATAAAAAAAAATCTTGAGAACGGTTGTTCGTAGTAATTTTTAACAAGAGATATATAATTTTTTCGTAAAAAAGCACAGAAATGTTTATTTTTTCACTCAGTAGTTTTATACAGGTAAGGACGAATCTAGGAACTTTTTATTATTTTTAATTTATAAATTGTAGTTTAAAATGTAAAAAAAAGCTAACAGCATTTCTTAAAAAGAGAAGGGACGAAAAATATTCCCTATTTTTTTAAAAAGTAATCATTTCGCACAAAGTAATTTTCTCGTACATATTCATCTACAATCTGTATAAAACTCTATTTCTACGTCTTGTTATATAGTAAATTTTCTGGCTCGCCCTGTACGCGTCTCCCTCGAGAGTCGGTGTTACTGTAGAAAGGGGGTGGCAAATAAGGGGTGGCGTGGTAAAAAGCGAACGCTAGAGGTCGTAGCCGGCCTAGACGATTCATTCTAATTCAATTGCGAGACAGGCTGATATGGCGAAATGGCACGGCGTGTGAAGTTGTCGTGAGCCATTGTCAAATCAGTGGCGGAGTAGTTTTTAAACAAACAACGCTTTATTGTACAAAAAGCCAAAATAGCTTCATCGACAAAGCATTTACAAAACAAACAAAAGCACAAAAAAATATATACAAATAATAAAAAATATCATACAATACAAATCAATTCAAAAAAATTTACGTCAATAAAATTACAAATAAGACATACATACATGAACATTGCAGAACACAGGCGTATCAATAAAATTTTACAGAAGGAAAATTGTAAATGGATATAATCATATAAGAGTTATAAAATATTAAATATTAAATACTAGACCTTTAACCAGTGTGTGAGATAATCAAAATTTTAAAATTCAAAATTGTTTATGATTAAACATCAACAAAAAAGTCATTTACCGCATATAGGTCATTGTACAGTATTGAGCCTTTATCTAGTTCTGAGGTCGGGGTTGGCAAATAAAGATCGTGCTCCGCATTCCTAAGTGGAGAGTTGTGAGATGGCCTTTCCGGAATAGCAGATATATGTGCTTGCGGATTAAGCAAACGGATTCAAAAATGAATAAGGAAGGAAGAGCCAGTATTTTGAAATTTTTAAATAAATTCTGGCAGTGAGTTCCACTGTTCAATCCCAATAAATATCGAACTGCTCTCTTTTGAAGTTTGAAAAGACTATCAAATTTTGTCGCGCAGCAAGTACCCCAGAATGGAAGGGCATAACGAAGATGCGACTCAAAAAGGGCATAATAGGCCATTTTAGTAAGTACAGATATTTATTATTGTTATTTAATATTATATTTCTTTGTTTTGTAACACTTAGTAAGAAATCAAATTTAAAAACTAAGAAAAGTGTCCAAATTTAAATATTTATTAAGAAAAAAATTGTATGTGCACTATGTGCGCACACTTGAAGTAAAACTACTTCTTACTTCCGTCTATCTATCTGTCCGTCTGTCCGTCTGAGGACTCCATCTATCTGAGGATACATCTATCAACGTGCCTAGTTTGGTAAATAGTTAATTCATCTGGCCGGATAGCCCTGGCAGTTGTGGTCATTAAACCAACATACTACTACTACTATGTAGGCTGTGATTTGTTTCTGTTGTTTTGATCATTATTCAATATTTATAGTGATTTACAGTAATTTTATTAGATAATACGAATATTCTCGTTGATTATTTAAAAAAGATATGAGTGTCCTCCAATGAAAATGCGAGTTACTAACTCTAATAATTCTAATTCTGAACTAGCAAATTAACTACATGCTTCACCTAGACCGTTATCCAGAAACTACAAACCTATCGATAAAAATCACAGATAAAAATATCTATGAAATATTTAATTCCTAGCACACAACCTTTTTTTTTAAAGTTAAGTTTAAAATTTTTTTTTGCATAAAATATTCTGGTGATGGAATTTTCTGTACGAAATGTCGGCAAATATCAAAGTGACTATATATAGTGTTTTAAGAGTGATGAAAGGATTTAATTAAATTGAAAAAAAGATCAGGTCCGTATTTAAAAAAATTAAATTGATGATGGTCGCCAGAAGCCGAAACGTCAGAGTCAATATTTAATCACACAGAGTTATAGAGCAGAAAAAGTGGCCATGAAAATGTGTTTTCCATTTTAAGATATCTTAACAAATAAAGCCCAGGAAACAGTAGAAAACAAAATTGAAAATTCCGTTTTTTTTCGAATATATTCGGAAGTATTCGGAATTTTTCAAAATGCAATACGGCATTTTATTGAGCATCAAATTGCGCAACTTTGCCTCTATTTAACCGATCCTGTATCTCTTCCGGTTTCCGAAATCCCAATGATGAGCGTCGAATTCGAGCCACCCTGTACAGGGTGGGTCAAATTCGACGCTTTTAAATGGAAATACCCTTTTCTATAGGAAATAGACAAAAACTAATATCGGTGTCTGGAGCTTAATTTTTATCAAAAACATGATGGTGAAAACAGCATATCGGTATCTGTTACCGTTTCGGAGTTACGGGGTGTTTTTCAAAAATATGCATTTTTAACAAATCGCTGTAACTTTTTTGCTATGGAAAATTTTGTATTTTTATGAAAACATTTCCAAAGCACCTTTTTACCTGGAATTTAATTTAATTTTTTTAAAATTAATAATTTCAGAATTATCAACAGAATATTTGATTTCTTATCTCGACCCTGTATATTTTTAATTTATTGAAAATAATTTAAAATTACCTTTCCAAAAATATAACACACTTGATATTTTGTTCGATTCCTCTTCGAGATATAGAGTATCTAAAAATTCACCCGCTTTAAATAAGTAGGCTTTGAACGGCACCGGCTGTAATGCAAAAAAATTCTAGCTGTGAGCATCAATTAAAATGAAAATAATATTTTCTATGAGAGATGCAGAATTTTATAACAATTTAAAATATATTTAACCAACATCAACACATTTAAACTATATCTAATAACAATAAAAATAAATAGCAAACCAAGACATGAGATTTTGCTACAGGTGTGTGACATATCGACCGTCTGCTGTTATGGACAGACGGGGCCGTTTTTGAACATTTCTCGCGGAATTCATTAACTCAGTGGGGGTGAAAGATACCCTCTCATAACTGCTAAGTATTTCTAATTCTTGTCTAGATTATACGGAAGAAT